ATAACGAGTATATTTCGGAACGTCTTTGTCAGTAAACATAATCAAAAAAAGTCAATTTTATTGAAAAATCGAATGTTTTTCTTCCATAAAAAAAAAGGAATTTTAAAAAATTTTTAGGATTTTGCAAGGAAGTTTTTTAATTTTTTATTTCAGAAAAATGGCTTAACAATTTTTTAATATATGCAGTTTTGGAGAGCTCGATGAGTTCTATCGAACCATGTAAAAATATCAAAAGAAAAGACTTTACTTTATATTTGAATTACTGGCGCTTTAATTTTCTATGCCAAAAAGGCATCAAATTTTTGAAAATTTCATGAGTTCGACATTAAAAGGTTTTGATAACTTTTACTATTTAGTAATAATAAATCCAGTTTTCGACGCGCTTTAATTTGGTATAAAGTTCATTAGGTATTCAACTTGAAATCATAGTGCTACGCCCCTAGCAAAAGGTTATGCACAACCCTGTACAATCAATTAAAGGAAAACAAACAAACTGATGATGAAACACTTAAAAATAAAATAAAATACATAGATGAATTGGTTATCAACGAGAGTCAAATAGATGTATACATCAAATTGTTGCAAGACGATCGAAGTAAGAAGCAATCAAAGTGAAATGATGATTGTATTGGTGTTTTTTCTTTTTAGAAACACTTGAAGAAAAAATATCGTGTGATAAAGAAAATACTGTTGAAAAAATATCGTGCAATCAGGAAAACAATATTCAACATTTAAATTTAAAATTATTTAAACATAAATAACAATATGTTGTGATGTTAATCGAAATCACAATGATACAAGTTGAACACGTAAAAGACATTTTTCAAAAATTTTCCATTTAAAATATCTTTTTTTTTTTCAATAAAGTTTCTTTGAAAAAGTAATTGATTGACTTTTTGCAATTGATTTCACATGAATATGATGTGTTGAAATTGCATAACAGAAATCCAAAGTCTACACAATTGAAGTAAAATAAGATGTAATAAACATGACGAGTAGCGGACGACATGTTGAACAAAATTACTTCAATTCTCAAAGACGTCATGGTTTATCAAAAAATGTTGAAATTCTCTTATATGTTGCCTTTTAACTGACATACATCATTGTTCACAGATAAAAGGAAAATAGTGGATTCATTAAAAGAATAGTATTTGTCTTTGCAATTGGTTATAAAAGAAATATCCATGAAAGAACAATTATCAAAATAGCAAATAATCAAAAGATGCAGTTCTTTTACTCGAAGAATCATATGACTCAGTATTCTTGTAAACTTATGTAGGATAGATTTCGTTTAACACATCGAATAGAACGCATCTTGAAGGTTTTTTTTTAGTATTCTTTTGGGATGTGTTTCGAAATTCTTTTCTTTTTTTTCGAAATTTGACCTTTAAAGATGAAGATCCTAATATATCATAATTCCATCTTATTTCATGATGCAAGTCTTCTCTTTATATAAAACGTAGAAGACTACAAAACAGATATTATGCGAGTGAAATTCAATTAGTTGTTTGTGTAATGAATATTTATTTCCTTTCTTTAGATTATGCCCCGTCTTCTTCTTCCATTTTCGTGTTAATGAACACGGTGGAACAGCTGTGTAAATACGAGAAATCGATTGAACGTTAAAATAACATTCGATGACTATGATCCATTTGGACGATGCATCGATGTGTCATTTTTTTTCAATAAGTTCATCTATTCTATTCGAGAATGACAAAAGCGGTTATAAATAAACAATATATATATATCTGTGCCTTTGAGAAAAGCATCATAGTCAGACTGAAACATGAATCAATTGAACGTTCATCTTCTGCATCTACCCGATGAGATATTACTTATTATTTTGAAAAAATTAAACAATATTGATGTTCTTTATTCATTATTGAACATTGATAATGAACGACTTAGCATTTTAGCACAAGAAAAAATCTTCAGTAACACTCTCAAGTTTGTATCCATTGATAATATTTCTTCAATAGATCACCACAAAATTGATCGATTTTACATCGATATATTGCCAAGAATTCATCACAATGTGAAATGTTTTATACTTGAACCAGTTTTAATGGAATGTATTCTTCTTGCTGCTGATTATCCAAATCTAACTGAATTGAAACTTTTTAATTTTGAACAAAAAATTGCTTTAAATTATTTTACAAGTAAGAAAAACAACAGAAGAATGATGTTAAATAGTTAATCCTTTAACGGTCAGTGGTACAAATATGTAGCACTTTTTTGTTTTCGATCGCAGAACTATAATAAACTAGGATCAATGACTCTGGTAGGAAGAACGATGATACTGCATAGATGGACGGGATTAATTTCTGGGTATTTGAGTTCAAATAACAGTGTTTATCTGTTTGTCCAAGAGGGAGTTTTGAAGAAGATTGTCACTAATTCTCATTTCCAAAGTGAACTTGACCATCCAAAATTCGGCCGTTAAAGGGTTAATGAACAATTGAATGTTTCATTATTTTTTTATTTAGATGAATCACCTCTTCGACATATTTTTCAACAACAAATCACAGAACTTATTCTTGGAAATAGGGACAGAAACGATATGATAGGATCATCAAAGAAGTATACTACAAATGTCTATGGACATATCTTAAAGTTCTTTAAAAATTTGAAACATTTGACTATTATTGAAACATTCAATCCATCATATCCACGTTTATCACTTCATAAGTTACCACCAACTACTTTTTCCTCTTCAACTCTTACTCATTTATGTATCAATATGTATACATTAGATGATTGTCTTTATTTACTTGATGGTCGACTCAAACAATTATCTTCACTTATTATTGGAATAAGTTACGTAGACGAATTTTCATCAATCGTCCACAATATGGTAAGTATTGAACGAATAAGATCGATCATGAGATAAAACTAAATATCAATTTTGAACACCTTTGATTTATTTGAAAAATATTTAAAGAAAAAAATTGAACAATTAAAGTTTGTTCTGAAATTGAAAAACGAAATCTACTGAATTGCCGTAGTCATCATTAACATACAATGTTTACTTCGAAGAAAAGAAGAATTTTAAATAAGTAGTTTGTGAATTAATTATATGAGTCATTCATTTTTATTAGCTTCATTAAGATACGTATATTGATAAATATTTCTCCTTGTTATTTAGGATAATCTACCTAATCTAAAATATTTCTCATTAAAATGTTATGTTCAAATTAACCAATATGATAATAAAATTCTACCTCTTCTTCATCGTATGTCATTTTTGGAAAAACTAACTTTATATCTGCGTATAAAAGATCGAGCCAGATTCATTGATAAAACTCATCTGCAAAATGAAATTCTTATTTATATGCCACGACTTCATTCGTTCACTTTTTATATTTCTACTGATCATAATACTGTTGATTTATTTCATGATGTGCCTAGACAAGATAATCAACGAATTGTCACAAATATCGGGCAACAATCAATGGCTAATATCATACATTATACTAGTATTAATAAAGCTGTATATCATATCTTCTCACTTCCTTTTGTATTTGATCATCTTGAAGATATTGGCAACATATTTACTGATACTATATTTAATTATGTTACATATTTACTGGTGCAAGATATATTTCCATTCAACCACGAATTCTTTATTCGAATCGCCCGATCTTTTCCGTTACTAAACAATTTACGTATTGTAAATTTTCAATCACAGTCGACATGTAATCTTAACACATTTTCATCTGATAGTAGCCAATCATATTCAATTGCTGAATATCCTTATCTTACTTCACTTGACGTGAGAACTGCAGCTATTGATTATGCAGAACAATTTCTAAATGAAACAAAGACATATGCACCGTATCTGACTGAATTAACAATTCATTATCGTAATTTGAAAATGGTAACAAACGACTTTACAAGAGAAGAAACACGGCGGAGTTGTGCGAAGGTCAAACGACTAATTATGATAGGCACATGGGTACACTCCAAAGATTTCTATCTTTATTTTCCTTTGTTATAAATGAAATTCTATTTTGATCTGTTGAATAAAATCAGTCATATGAAATCAATTGCAAAAAGTCAATCAATTACTTTTTCAAATAAACTTTATTGAGAAAAAAAAAAAGATAATTTAAATGGAAAATTTTTGAAAAATGTCTTATACGTGTTCAACTTGTATCATTGTGATTTTGATTAACATCACAACATATTGTTATTTATGTTTAAATAATTTCAAATTTAAATGCTGGACATTATTTTCTTCTTTTATTGATTTAAAACAAAAAATATTTCTTTTAAAATGACAATTACCAAATTAATCGGATGTTTTCTCTCTAATAGACATGATGATTTCGAAGATTAAATTAAATTCTTATTTGCAAATTACTTCGAAATATCAATATTGAATAGAATAAAAGAAGCAATCTATCATCATATAAAATATTGAACACAATTTTCATCAAGCGAAATCTGCAAAAGAAAGCAAAGATTTCGATATTAATATTGATTTACTATCACTTGATTTTCTTCTACGAGAATATGAAACAATGAAAAGTAATATAATTTTGATTCTCTTTCTTTTTGGGTATTCATCAATTATTTTGAAGAAATTTTGCTCATTTCACATTTAAACTTGATGAAAATAATATTCAAGGAGATAGTTTTCATCGTGCTCAAGTATTTTTTTTTTATTTTTAGAAAAATCTTTTTCTTTTAGAGTGTTGAATATGTTTCTCTCAAAATTCAATTAATTTATTTTAATCAAGCTAAGAAAAAAATCTTCAAATATTTAATTAAAACAAGATTTTCGGTCATATTTATTTAAACCAATAAGAATACGATTAGATCTTTTCAAATCAATTCATATTGAAAATATTGATATACCTATAGAAAACATTTTTTTTCTCTCTTCAACTAATGAAATTTGTTTTAGTTGAAAAATCTCATCAATTGAATGACGTTTATGTGAATTTGTTGAATCAACAACAATTGATAATAAGCAAATTGAATTGAGTTTTAGATCTCGAGAAGAATATAATTCTCTCTGTTTATCCAAAAGATAAAAAAGGGAATTGAAAATCGAGATAGAAAACAAACAAACGCATGAAGCTATTGAAAAAAATGGCACAAATCAAAAAAAAAAATTCTTCATGATCAAGAGGAAATTGAAATGAATTGATAAGAACAAATAACACGACTTGAATTTAACTTTCAAATTTGCAAAATAAATCATAAAGAACTTTAAAAATAATTCTTTTCTTTTGTTATTTGAATGTACATTATTAGATTTATCTGAGTAAGCAGAAGAATTTTCATGTATTTCATTTTTCTTAATCGTAACATTAACTCAAATGAAAATATATGATCATATTCAATTAACTGTATGTTTACACGATACAAATCTTATATGAACAAATTTTGAAGGAAAGATAAAAAGATTAAATTTGTTTTCTCATAAAAATAATTTCAAGTTAATTCATCATATGAATTGATTATTAATATCAATTGAAAATCTTATCTTATCTCAAGTGATATTCGTTTTATATTGATCCTTATTTTAAATCATTTTATCAATTTATTATTTGAAAAAAAAAAATCATTTTTATCAAATAAAAAATCTTCTCAATATCGAAACCCTAGAGAAAGTACTGAGTTCACAGTACCCATGTACTGAGAAAGCCTTAGCAAAGTACCCGATATGGGTACTTCGAAAATTCTCAGTAATTATACTGATGTAGGTATTGCATTGGGTACCCACAGCAGTATGTTTACTGAACAAGTACTTGTATGGGTACTCGCATGTATAGCTTTACTGAAAAAAGCTCTAAAGAGTATTCTGGATTTGTCGCGTTCTGTGTAGCGACTGTTCATTCACTGTTTTCTTTTGCACACACGGCTTCATATGAACAACTCAACAAAACATAAGAAACTAATTTATATTTTCATACTTATTTTTTCTAGATTATTTCTTGGCTATTTATTAGTCGAGAACATGCCGATCTCGATTGTAAATTGAGAGAGTACTACCCTGAAGTGATCTGATGGAGATCCGACCAATTCAAGTCCGATCAGATCCCGAAATTTGACCTGCTTGAGTTTTCAGAATTGGAAAAATAAAATTAAATCGAAAAAATGTCATAAATTGCTTTGAGGGAAACAAAAATGGAAAAAGTCAACGGTTAGGTTCGATCAGCAACATATTGCAATTTTGGCAACAGGGTACCTAAAAATACTGTATACTAGTGCCCGTGCGAGTATAAGAACAGTACTTTCAAGTACCCATTTACTAAGCACTTTGCAGCAGGATACCCGCCAAAGTACTACATAAGTACCTAAAAGTACTTTAGTACCCAAAAATTCCTCGGACATACTAGTAGCAGGGTACTTTTTTGGGTATCCTTAACTCAGTACATTCTTTAGGGAATTCATTTGTTAAAAGACAATTTGAAAAATGAAAGATTATTTTTCTTTTTAATACCTTTAATTAATTTATTTCAAACAAAAGAAAAAAGAAGTTTCATCTATTATTGAAAAAATCATATGTAATCACATGATTTTCAACTTTATTTTCTTTTCAATAGTCGAAAAAGCTTTCTTCAAAGAAATTCTTATTGAAATCTATATATTCTTATTGATTTTTGAAAATTGAGAATGCATACCTATTTCAATGAATAATAACATCGAATTACATTTGAAAATCTTTGTGCGTATCAAATTGAATTAAACGAAAAAAAAAAATGAAATTATTACGCAAATGTAAATCTCTTCGGATGTTGCTCATTTCTTATAGTAATTAATTATTCTTTAAATAATCAATTTATTCTTTTATCTATTGAAATTCAATGGAATAGAATTCATCTGAAACTTCTACAAATAGAAAATAATAAAGAAAATCAAATTTAATCTCAAACATCTTCTATTCTAAAGAAACAAATTGGTTTAACATTTTATCTTTCTCAAATAAATCTTCATGAAAATGAAATGATAAGAGATCAAAATTGTAAATTTCTTTCTTTAACAATTCAAATAATCGAATGAAGTAGAAATTCAATATTTCATTGTAGATGATCTTCGTCAAAAGAAGATTTCACATGTTATTCATACAAATTTTAATATTGACAAAAGTCTTCAATCAAAATAAAATGATCATCATTCAATTCAAACAAGTTATTCATTTGAATAATTTTGAAATTATGTATGAGATCAATTTAATTGATCATCAATTCAAACTTGATCACTATCAAATATTCCATTATCAGCTAAATCAATTTTTTCTAATGAAACAATGATTTTTTATTTCTGGTGGAGCGGAGCTGGAGCGGAGCGACCGAGCAAGTGTCTGGAGCTGGAGCTGAAGATACTCTGATTGGAGCAGAGTCGGAGTGGAGCGGCAAGAAAATGTTTGGAGCTTGAGCTGAGCTAAAGCGAGGAATGGCTGGAGCTGCCCATCTCTGCTTCAATTGAAGATTTCTCTTTTTATGGTTCAAATTTTGATGAATTCAAAATAATGAATAGTGAAATATTTAGTAAGAATCATTGATTTAAATCTGAATTAAATTTTATTAAAATATATCTGAAATTTTATCACGTCTTATTAAATTGATATTTAAATAATGATAAATAAGAAATTCATTATAATATTTCCGATTTATCTCTTTATATTGATGAAAACATTTGTTAATTTTAACAATTTAATTAATAAAAAAACAAACTATTCAATTAAAGATAAGGAAATATTTTCATCTTTTTTATTTCTTTTGACACATTCTCGTAAAGAAAAACGAAAAAAAATCATTTTCGATCAAATATCATTTTAAAAATTCAACTATTTCATTTCTTCAAAGTATTTACTTATTTTTCAATGGTTTTTTTTCGATTATCATTGACGTAATTTTATGTAAAGAATTATTTTTAGTGTTGATATTTGATTGAAGATGAATGTTCAAAAGAGAAATATCGAATAAAAGAAAATCAATTAAATATTTATCTTAAAAAGGTTATTTTTATTCCTATTTAACATTTATTAAATTTAGCATAAAGAAAAACAAGTCTTGCTTATAATCAACGTGTATCAACAATATTTAATTGAACTTATCAAAAAGATTTACCTTCTGATGATAATAAAGAGCATAGACTATGTTATCCATACTGATTATGAGAGACTATTCTCAATCAAATAACTGATCTTCAGATATTGTTAAAGACTCATTGAATTTCATTGAGAATATTTCTTTTTTTTCAGTTTTCTTATCATAATCAATCAATTAATTTAACAATTCCTGAAGAAAGATTATTATCAACTCATCTTTCACCTAATACTAAACACATTGCTAAAAGAGAACAAGAATTTTGAATTAAAATTTGTTTTCTTTTCAACAGAATTTTTAGTTAAATAAAAAAAAATAGATTTATTTCGTGTAGATCGATGATAAAAGTGCAATAGTGTTGACAAAAATCAAACATGGAGAAGAGTTTAGGAATTTTTTCCATGACTAATTCCTTTATGCCCGATACAAATGCTTTGTGATTCACAAATTTGTGAGGAAAGATGAATTAGTTCAATAATGAAAATATATGTATTTATTTTGAAAGAACTTTCTATTTGAAATGAAAATATCTCTAATCGAATAGAAATTCCATCAAAATAATTAGATGCAAATGGAAATGAAACAAATGAATTTAAGGGTGTGGGTGTGGATGTGCGAGGTTTGGGTTTAGATGTGAGTATGAGTGAGGATGTGGGTGAGTGCGGGTGCGGAGTGTAGGTTTGGGTGCGGATGAAAAGAAGCACTATATCCACACACACCCATCCCACATCCCACACCCTCACACCCCATACCCACACCCTCAATCAAGTCATAGCTAAAATAAAAACTGCCGGAAACAATATTCATGTGCATGTTGTATCATAGTGTCATTTGTATGCTGAAATAAAGGTTAGAAGTAGATCAAGTATATTAGAAAAATTAGCGTGGAGTCAAGTATAAGAGGGATTGATGTCTCGGTATGCCGAACTCGGGA